GGCGGCTGGTTGAAGAGGGACGGTTGCCATCTCCGGGGCATGGCACGCGTGCCCAAAGAGAGGGCTCTGAGTGCCGCCTCTGGCACGCGGGCCATAGGTTCGCCACCCCTACTATAGGTGATAGACTCAGAATCTGTTTTAGTTTGATCATGTGGACTTTTTAATCAACGTTTCAGTTCCTTTGTCTCGGTGGGCTGTCGAGAGCAGGCAGAATCCCTGGGCAGTGATGGGACCCTCCGTCCTCGGGGGAGAGCAAGTGTTTGGCCGCTCTTTGTAACAGCGTCCATTTGTTGTTCATTTCAAAATCAGGGCCCAATCCTTTACCTTGACTCTGTGAAGAGTTTGACCAATGGAGCAGCAGTCTTATTAATGCCCTTTGCTTATTGGTCAAGTGAAACATTTCCACTTGCTTGCCTCCCTTTGCTAATACCGGTGGTCCTTGACTTACGATCGCGGTCGAGTCCAAAATTTTCTGTTGCTAAGCAAGACAGTTAAGTGAATTTTGCCCCATTTTAACAGCTTTCCTGCCACCGTTGCTAAGTGAATCACTGCAATTGTTAAGTTAATAATAATAATAATGATAAAGTTGGAAGGGACCTCGGAGGTCATCTAATCCAACCTCCTGCTCAGGCAGGAAACCCTATATCATTTCAGACAAATGGTTGTGCAATCTCTTCTTAAAAACTTCCAGTGTTGGAGCATTCACCGCTTCTGGAGGCAGGTTGTTCCACTGGTTAATTGTTCTAACTGTCAGGAAGTTTCTCCTTAGTTCTAGGTTGCTTCTCTCTTTGGTTAGTTTCCATCCATTGCTACTTGTCCTGCCTTCAGGTGCTTTGGAGAATAGCTTGACTCCCTCTTCTTTGGGGCAGCCCCTAAGATACTAGAACACTGCTATCATGTCCCCCCTCGTCCTTCTCTTCGTTAAACTAGACATACCCAATTCCAGCAACCGTTCCTTATATGTTTTAGCCTCCAGTTGTTAGTAACACAGTTAAGTGAATCTGGCTTCCTCATTGATTATGCTTGTCAGAAGGTTGCAAAAGATGACCCTGAGACATCGTCATAAATATGAGTCAGCTGCCAACTGACTGAATTTTTGTCACATCACCACATGGGGATGCTGCAATGGTGATAAAGCTTGAAAAACAGCCACGAGACACTCTTTTCTCCCCCCACTGCTGTGGTAATTTCAAATAGCCACTAAATGAACGCTTGTAAGTTTAGAGTGAAAAATGAAAAATAAAAAAAATCCCAAGAATTTCTCAAGAACATGACCGTAAAGACACTTTTTAGGTCTATCTTTGTGAATGGAAATCCTGTGAAAATTGTGACATTTGTAGAAAAATCCTGGCTTCTTCATTGCAGACGTGTGTTTAATTTTGAGTATAGATACTGGTGTCAAAGGATGCTGCCAGTTTCTGCTCAAAATAAAACAGTGGCAGATGAAAATCCCAGAGAAGCTTAATATCAGGCTTTTTCATTCAGTCCCTTTCTGGTTTTGATTTGATGATGAGGGAGGCTTAAAAAATGACATCATTGCATAGACTAAGTCAGGGCTTTTCAACCAGTGGTACGGGTACCACCTGTGGTACATTGGCACCTGGCAGGTGGTACGCGTCCATCCTAGAAAAGTGGTAGCAGGAGAGGGGAATGAGCTGAACCGGTGGCAGCACCGCACAAGCCTGAGCGAGAGATGGCTGGAGCTGCAGGGCTGTCAGGGCTCAGCGGAAGCGCCAGGATCAGCGCCAGGATCCAGCTGATTGGCGCTTCTTCGGGGCTGTCAGGGCTCAGTGGAAGCGCCAGGATCAGTGGCAGGCTCCAGCTAGAGCTCGGCGCTGATCCTGATGCTTCTGTTGAGCCCTGAAGAAGCACCAATCAGCTGGAAAGCAGCACTGATCCTGGCGCTTCTGCTGAGCCCAGAAGAAGCGCCAGGATCAGCTGGAATGTTGCAGCATCTCCAGGGTCTTGTGATTTACATTCAGATGCTTGGCAACTGATTCATATTTATGATGGTCACAGTGTCCCAGGGTCATGTGAAGTGACCAAAATCTGCTGCAACCACCCAGCAGACGGGGGGAATAAAAACCAAACACCCCCCACCCCACCCCCGCTGCCAATCCTCAACAGAAATGCTCACAACAATGGAAACCTCGGACAGGAGGAAGAACGCGGCCGGGTGGGCAGGCAGGGGTCTTGCTCAGCTGTGACTTGGGGGGGCACTTTTTCCAGTGCCATTGTAACTTCGAACAGTCACTAAACAAACTGTTGTAAGTTGAGGACTATCTGTACTTTATCACTTTTTGTCTTTTTTTTTTTGGTCATCAAGTTTTTGACACCTTGCTAGGCGACGGGTGGTACTCGGATATTGCCATATCCTAAAAGTGGTGCAATGGGTGAAATGGTTGAAAAGCCCTGGACTAAATAATTAGTTTTATAACATGAAGAGCTTGAGAAGCAGGGTGATGGCACTCAGTCTGAGACTCCATTAAATCTGTGTTCCTGTTTCTCCCCTCTTTCTCTCTCTAGTAACAGCAGGCGTCGCCATGATAGCGAAGAGGGAGAGAGCCACAGGAGGCATAAACATAAAAAATCGAAAAAGAGCAAAGAAGGAAAAGAAATAGGTAGCGGTGAACCGGCCTCTGAACAGGAAAACACGGAAGCGGCCCCTGCAGAGTAGGCATGTGGTAGTTTTTGCCTACTTGCTTATATTAATGCCAGAAATAGATTGCTCTAAATCTAATTATTTTTCTGGGTCTTAAGATGTTGCTCTTAATCTTGTTCTGTTAGTAGAAAAGCATACTTTTAATTTGGGTTTTTGAAAATAAAAGAGTGAATTTTTTCATGTTAAAGCAGGTCGTTTTGTCTTTATGCCATTGGAACAGTGAAGACGTTAACAGAAAGTGGTGTTTGGTTACTGAGATTCCTTGCATTTAATCTAAGATAAAGTGGAAAATGCAGAATTAATACAAAGGCTTCTCCTATTCAAATAAATATTTCACACAAGGCTGTTGTTCTGGGCACTCAATAGACCTGGGGTCCCCCCAAACCCCCGGTCCACAGACCAGTACCGAGCCGCAGCATGCCAGCAACCGGTCCACACAAACCAGCAAAGCCCCATCAGTGGGATGCAGGCGGCACACAAAACCACACCCTCTCCGGTCCGCAGAAAAACCTTTCCCCCTGGAACCGGTCCCTGGTGCCCCAAAGGTTGGGAAACTCTGCAGTTAGACTGTTTTCTGAAGGATGAACCCGTGTTTCGTTTAGTCCTTTAAATAAGTAAATCTGTATATTTCCAATAAAAAGTTAGCATATCTTGGCTGGAAATCCATAATGTGTCAATAGTATCCCGGTGCGATGTCTCCTACATTTGATCATGCTGGCCTTTTTGTGGGTAGTTCGCCATTAGGATGCTGGTTTAGAAGAGCCCAACGCAGAACGGAAGAATAAAAAACGGAGTAAAACAGAACACTCAAACGAAACGGTTGATTTCATGAATTTGAAAGTTTCGCGTACAATGAGTACTTTCGTCCTTTTTTAATTAAATTAATTTGGCTTTACAAATTACGGTTAATTTAAGAGTAGAAATAAAAATACACAATTACGATAGATTAGAAAAAAAACCCTGCTTTTTAAAAAAAAAACTGCTTTGACTGTGCACAACAAGGACTTTCGTAGACCCATCATCTAGCCTTTCTGTGTCTTGCTCGCACGCTGTCAGCGTAAATCATTAGACAAGTATTTCATTCTGAAATCACTTTCAAATTAGGTAAAATTGTTTCCTTCTTTATATCTAAACAGCAGGTGAAACATAGATATAAAAAAACAAAAGCATTAAACATATTACAAGAAGTTGTGTACCTTGATTTTACACCAGTAGCTTTCCATAGCTTTAAGAGAGCGTGTTTTTTTTTCCAAACCTCCTATGGTGCATTTTAAGACCCTTCTAGTGCAAGTTTATACTTTGCTACCCAAAAAAAAGAAGAAAAAAAGTCCAGTACACAAGAATTCGTTTCTTTCCAATTGAAATACATCTTTATAAAAAGGTGCCAGGCCAGGACACAATAGTGAGAGTAAGTCTCCCCTTCAGTTCTTTTAGCATCCTTGCCAAAGATGCATGCGCCATCCCTGAGATATTCCTGCCGTTCACCGCAAGGAGCATGTCGCCACACCTGGTAGGGGAAAGAGGGAGCAAATAAAACAAGGTTAGGCCCATCTGCAATTTTCTTTATTTTGCAAATGTTTGATGTTCTGAATTGGCCAAGGTCTCACATTTATTAAGGAGCTTTCCAAAGAGTATTTAATCAAACCTGATTCACCTCAGTTTTGCATCAGGACCCAACTGTTAAACTTAAGAATCACTTCAGGTGTTCTTTTTATTGCCTGGTATAAAATTTGAGCCTATTGTGATGCATAATCACTCCTTTGGAGGACTTTTTTTCGAAGCCGTTGGTCATTTCCTATCATTGGAAGCGCTGTCGCCATTATAATATTTTGCTTGTGGAGGATGATATTTGTCATAAGAACGTTTTGCCTACTTCGCCCGAGTGAGTTAAAGAGGTCGTGAAGATATGCCTGAACCTTAAACTCACATGTTATCACTCGCTGGATGCAAAATTAGGCCACACATTTATTTCATTTATACACTGCCACATCTTCAGGTTCTTGGCAGTTCGCAGTTATAAAATCGAACCACCTGTTCAGCAGTAAGGTAAGGCTTATATTAAAAACGCATGACACACTTCTGACAATGTCACAGTTCTCACAGCTTAACTTAACAATAATGCTAATCCTGCTTTCAAGGGGAGGGATCACCCCAGATGAACGATACCTCTGAGCCTCGGTGGCCCACACTTCCTGGCAGCGGGACGCTACTTTGCTCCCTGGTGCGTGAATCCTCCCCGTATACCTCACTATCAATTGTTGTATCAATTGTCTGGTTTAGCACAATTACGTTTCCCAGGAAACAAAAGCTCAAGTAAGCAGGATTGATTATAGTAAAACAAGTTGTTGCAAAAGAATCCAATTGCTCTGTATAAAATGTTAACTCCTTTAATGCTAAAATCAAGGTTCAATTTCTGGTGCCTATTTCTGTAACCCAGGTAAAGAACTAGCAGTGATTCTCTTGGGTAGGAGATGCAATTTCCATCCATTCCTTGTTTGGTACAGAACACCAAACATTTGCAAACTAAGTGGCATTAAGAAGAAAGCAGGATCCTTATTCATTTTAGATTGTGTGAGAACTTTGCTTCTATAATCAAAGAAGAAAGCTGGTATAGGGTAGCTTTAAATCAGATCACCAATTTTGCAATGAATCCAATGTTCGTAGACCAGTCCCTTAGAAATGGTGCAGATATTAAGGGAAGGATCCTTGGAAAACAAAAGTCCCTAGATCCAGTCCCTCTAATCCACAAATAAAAATGGGGAGCATTTTTGTTAACTATTCTGGAAAAAAGGTTTATCAACATAAGACAGTACAGAGCAAGGACCTTCGTGGGCCTAATTTGATCAAAGGCAGCTTCAGATATAAGGCACAATCTGCTTTTAATCGATGTTTTTATTACCTGATTCTTCCATCATTGTATGCTGGAGTCCCTTCAACAATGGATTTGATAAAGAATGGTTTGTTTCCACTGTTTTCTTCATAACCTCCCACTATACTGAAGCCGAGACTTCCTGCTGTATTTCTTCGCAATACAATTTCTTTGCAGCTGTACAAAGACCTACAAAAAAAGCATTCCACTTTAGTCATGTTTCTACCTTAAACGTTAATATAGATGTTCATTACTTAACATTTTGCTTATTTGCTTCTTAGCCATAACAGGCTTTAAATTATCTGGATGCCGTTCAGATAAAGATATATTTAGTACAGCTGTTATCAGCTTGTAGGTCGTCCTCAACAACAGTAATGGATGCTGGAATTTCGGTTGCATATTGTGACGGTTGTAAGTTCGCCAAGACACTTCCAATTCTACGCGGGAGAAAACCCGAATAACCAAAGACCTACATACAAACACCCGCGAAAACCTCAGAAAACACACACACACATATATATATTAAAAATAACACTAAAAATGGATGAGTGATCCCTGGGTATATCCATACTAATAAATATCAAAAGGTGAACACCAGGGAAATTTAAAATCATTAAAAGTTTTAATAAAACATTAAAAGTTTTAAAAGATTCTAAAAGAGACCTAGCTTTCGTTGGTTCCTACCAACATCATCAGGGCATAGATAATTCTTCTCCCATTGAATTATCTATGCCCTGATGATGTTGGTAGGAACCAACGAAAGCTAGGTCTCTTTTAGAATCTTTTAGAATCTTTTAAAACTTTTAATGTTTTATTAAAACTTTTAATGATTTTAAATTTCCTTGGTGTTCACCTTTTGTTATTTATTAACATATATATATATATATATATATATATATATATATATATATATATATATATATATATATATATATATATTGCAGTCACATGACTGCAGGACACTGAAAACAGCCATAAATAATGGGCCAGTTGCTGAATGTTCAAAATGCAATCACATGGGCACAAGAGGGTCGGGCTATTAGCTTTGTATCCAGATCATAAACACCTTGGGGGGGGGGGGATGTCGTAATTTCAAAGGGTCACTAAGCAACCAGTTGTAAGCCAAAGACTACCTATAATTCAGGATTCTGTGTACTGCAAAAGCTTGTAGCATTCCACTATCGACCTAGCTGATCAACCTTCCCCGTTGTAATTCCTATTTTTGTCCTTTTAAAAGTAGCAGCACTCGGAGCTTTTAAAATTTAAAAATGAAAACCCAGTTGTTCCAAGGCAACAGATTTTTGCTCTGTTCTGCAGGATTTTTTTTATAGTACTGCAGATTAGGCCCTTGAGAACAGCAAATATTCACCTGCTGGCAGGATATAAAGTATAATGTTTGTATAATCGCTAGCTGGCTTCTAATGTGAAAAGCAGGTGCCTGTTGGCTCCTTTTCGTGGCTCTAGTTTTATTCGTTTACCATCTGTGTGTGGTTTTTAGCATTCCGAATTCCACTTTTCATACAGTTGTAAATGCACCAGATTTAACCAAGGTTGCGATCTAACGTCCAGATTTCACTATTATTGATAGCTATTATTGGTAGTAGGAAGTCACAAGGTTGTATCCAATCACAAGACATGTATTGACTTCTAGTATTTTATTGTATTTTCTAAACCAGGGGTCCCCAACCCCCAGGCTGTGGACTGGTACCGGGCCGTGGCATGCCAGCAACCAGTCCGCACAAACAAACAAAGCCCCATCTGTGGGATGCAGGCAGCACACGAAACCACGCACTCTCCGGTCCGTGGAAAAACCTCTCTCCACGGAACCGGTCCCTGGTGCCCAAAAGATTGGGGGCTTCTGTTCTAAACAACAGTATAGTTCATTAAAATTGGAAACTATCAAACATCTGCGCATGATAATCTAACAATTCTGCAAGTTACAGGGAGGCCCTCTCCAAAATGAGCCTCTTGAGTTTGGGGACTTTTGAGTGTTGGGGCTTAATCTTAAGAGTGAGGAGAAGAAACAACAACTGTTTATTAGTCTGGTATGTTACCAGACTATACCAGACTCCTTGCCTATGACGGTAAAACAGAAAAAAAAACTTAAAAGTCTACAATACAATGTAAACAATGCAAAGCATTAAAGGCGCCCAACCCCCTCCTTTCTAAACGCCCTCCGAAGAATTCAGTTTTAACCAACTTTGAAAAGGCAACAAAGCAGACAAATGTTTTCCTGGCTTCAGCCCTTCTCCCACGTCACAAAAAAGAAAGTTGGTGTGTGTGTGTGTGTGAGAGAGAGAGAGACGGACAAATGTATGCAAGTGTAACTGCCATGTTCTCTATAAATGAAGAGAAAAACCGATAGGATCGTGATTCACTTCCATTTTGGCACCCGGGTAATGAAAAGTGCACAAAACACCGTAGTCCGGTCTCTCTGGAAACTTGAGACGTTCTAGGCAACTTGGAATGAATCAGAGCAGTGACACACTCAAGGCTCCTGTCCATGTGTTTTGGAGATGGCAAAAAAAAAAAAAGTCTAGATCTTTTAATGACTGGAATTTGTTTGGGCAATGCTTCTGTGCCTTCAAAACGGAAGAACTAAACCATTCCATTGAGATGGAATGTCTGAGTTGGTGAGTCATTGTTTAGATGTTCTTGTAGGATGTTGCGTAAGTGAAGTACTACATGTTCTCCTTCTAGCATGGGTAAAACAAATGCTGCTACAGGACATTCTGGTCAGTAAAATTCATGCCGGAGATTGTATTTTGCTTCGCTGAGTCCTGGGCGATAGAAATAGGTTACGTAGAGAAAACGAGGAAAAGACTCGCTTATTCTGAAAAGACCCAGGCAGGTATAATAATATAATGTAATGTAATGTAATGTAATGTAATGTAATCATATAATATAATATAATAATATAATATAATAATAATTAATATAATAATAATATAATAATATAATAAATATAATATAATATAATATAATATAATATAATATAATATAATATAATATAATATAATATAATATAATATAATATAATATAATATAATATAATATAATATAATAATATAATATAATATAATATAATATAATATAATATAATATAATATAATATAATATAATATAATAAATATAATATAATATAATATGGGGAGGAACAGACTCAGGCTCAACCCGTCCAAGACCGAGTGGCTGTGGTTACCGGCGCCTCGGCATAGTCAGCTGATTCCATCGCTGACTATAGGGGGCGAAACTTTGGCCCCCTCGGAGAGGGTACGCAACTTGGGTGTCCTCCTGGATTCGCGGCTGACGCTGGAAGACCAGTTGTCGGCCGTGACCAGGGGGG